CTAGAGAGAAACTGAATTCTCCGAAGGTTGCCAACTCTTTCTTCCATAAAATACTCATTGTTAGTGTGCAGTGAAACATAACATGTTCTAATATCCTGTTACATGATATAACTACTCTAGATACCAGGAAGGAGTGAAAATAGCTAAATATTCATTTGAAGAACTGTTGTTCCACTCAGAAGTAGAGTGAGACCACATGTATTTTTATGTAGAAGAACAAAAATGGCCTTTTGAACACAAGTATGACTAACAGTTAATTATATGGTCACAGCAAAAAGGGCCAATGTGGTATCCAGATGATAACCATTTCAATACGATTCAGCCCTTGTGGGGAGTTATGTTTGACATGGCAAACAAAGAGAGTCAGAGCAAACTTAGAACATCTTTTTGATTTAACTTTAAAAGCTCTTTTCTTTAGAGTATGTTGCTGGTAGCATGTTGCTGGCCTTATCTGTAGATTCTACAGATAAGGCCAGCAACATGCTCTTTCTGACTCTCAGCCACAAACCTATGTGTTCCTTCTTTGGATATCCAACCCCTAATACATCCTCATACTCTTAAAAAGATGGATTGATTCCCTAAAACACTTCAGCTTTTGGCAAATGTTACTCAAGAAGAATAGAAAAGTGTCATTTTCAGGCTTGTATAATGCACATTTGTACAGACAAAATTACACTCCACTGGTGCATCTCTGCAGCGTCGTTGTTAAACAGAAAGCCTTAGCTTGGTAAAGTTAGGAATAGCTCAGATCTTACCAGTTTCATCTCTGCTCACAGTGTCAGAGGAACACCGATACGCCTTGATGTGGGATTCCATCACAAGCCAAGAGAAGGTCCGGTCTGATCTTCGGGCCTTTATTTAAGGAAAGGAAATATGGTTGATTATTGTAAAAATCTATTCTATAATACAGTTCATTTATGATGTGGATTAAGCCTAAATTGGGATGGATCAGAAACTGGAAACACAAATGAGAAGCTCATAAACTCAGGTATTTGTGTGGGTCAGTTGTGAGGACACAAGGGTCTTTTCTAGACAACTACTAAAATGTAAACCATGTTTCCAAAACACTGCTGACCTTTTTCCATGAATTGAATTTTCAGATTCAACCCCAGCGTATATCTAGTCTAGAGCAAGATATGTGTTGCTGTATGAATCACCTCCTTCAGGAAGGACTAACAATCAGAGTAAGGACGCGTTTAGCATACCACACATAGTTTAATGTTTACTCACTTTAGGCCAATGTGCAGAACATAGTCTCACATCTTTCCTAAGCTTTGTAAGGGTGTGAAACTCTGGGAAAGAAGCTGCAGATAGCCCAAAAGAAAGCAGTACATCAGAAATAATTACACTGTGTTGCAAAAACCTTTGAGAATTGGGCACTTGGGTTTCACTTCAGAGGAATGGGATCATTTTAGCCAAAGCTCTGACAGGATGTGCACAATTGGCATATTAGGGAGGCAGTTAGTGCTGACAAGTACACTGGCTTTGTCATCCACATTTCCCCACACCTTGTTTTCCTGTTGCAAGACACACACTCGCAAGCACACACACCCATCCTCTTACACCTGAAACAGCAGTCCTCCGTTCTTCTCTTCCATTCCCTCGGCCCTCTTTGAGGAGTGCAGCTGCTCTCATAGTAAATGACTTCCAGAGAGGACGAAGAAATCACATACTGTAGTCCTATAAAAGCATCAGGGTTTTCCACAGGCACTTGTCTAATGATTTCTATATTTGTATCTAAGGACTTGTTGGTCAATATTTCAAAAATAAATCCAAACTTTTTGAATTCCTTAAAGCTTGCCAAACTCACTGCTCCAGCAGTAGGTCCTCAGAGGAGATGCATTTGTTTTCTGCTTTACGTTTCATGTAAATAAAAAAGTGTGGGAAGCTCAGATGACCTTAAAGTTATACATATATACACAGTAGCAGCACTTAAGGGTTTATTTACGTGTCTCTTTTCACAGGCTTTTTTACTTGGTTATCCGTTACAGAGAGGTGAGCATTAGGGAATGTAAATCTGCATGGGAGTTAGCATTTAGTTGAAAAGACAGCAGTTTAATTGAGTGTTTTTGTGAGTGTGTGACATAACCGCTGAAGCTACAGTAAAGCAGTTTGAAGACGTTATGAGGAACAGCTGCTCACATTGTTACATCAGTACTCCACATGCAGAGAACCACTGCTAATTCCCTGGTATATTAGTTATGTATCTACAACATATCAATAGTATTTATTAAAGAGTATAGTATTATTGTGTTGTGAAAATAGAAAAAATCAATAAATATATTGTTTAAAGCTCCCATGTCATGCTTTTCCGGTTATTACCCGTCCCCTTGTGTGTTATGAAGGTTTTTATGCATGTAAACGGTGTGCAGAGTCAAAACCCTCAAAGTACACCCTGTAGCGAGTAAAACTCTAACACAGAAAATACCTCCCCAAAACGCCTCGTTGGAGATACGTCACTGCCCATTTGAGTCTTCCATTTAGTTCCGGGTACCGCCTGATGTCATGCGGTACCCGGAACGAAATGGACCAATCCCGAAGAGCTATGGCCACACCAGCAGCGGCGTGTTCCTCCTCCAGAGGTTCGAAGAACCGGCATTTCACAGACGAAAGCTTCCAAAAACATTGCCCAGTTTGAGGCCGGATATGCACAGCTTGTTTGGACCGTTTGGAGCAGGGGAAGATCTGGGTATACAACCTGTAAGTTTGCATTGTTATTTGTGTATTTATCAAACAAGACTGTTTAAATGTGTAAACTGTGTTGGACTGCTAAGCCATTGACACAGTGCTAACTGTGCTAACTAAGTTGCTAGAGTTTCCATATATCAACTCTAATATCAGCAGATGGCCTTGCATACATGTATCTCATAGCAGGAGAATGTCTGCATTCACACACAAAATACCTATTGACAGTATACTGCGGGTGATTTGCCGGTCAGTCGCGAAACGTAATTACATTATAGCTGGCGTAGCGATCTAACACACGGAGCTTGAGCTAGTTTTGGTCAGAAAAACATTTTTGTGATGCTACGTTGCTAGCGTTTAAATATATCAACTACAATGTCAGCAGATGGCCTTACATGTTTGTCATGGCAGGAGAATGTCTGCAGTCACACACACGGAATACTCATACAGTATACTCCGGTTTACCGTACATTGTGACCGTACATATACTGCATGTAGCTAACGAGGCTAGCTGTATGCTAGCGCAAAACAATGTATTCATGCAAGTTACATTGTATGGTAGCAGAATACCCGTATACGATTGCAATTATAAACACGTTATTGCTAGCCTAATATGAACCACTAGCTTTTGTTCATAGTAGTTTTATTACACTGCATTATAGTTGCCTTTCCTCCAAGCTAACGTTCATATCGTGTTAGCTACCAAGGTAAACAAAGCTAGGTTAGCATATTAGCAGGCAAGCTGTTCATTACACAACTACTACTAACGAATCTAAAACAACTAAGTTTCTCTAATATTTTGTGATTTGCATTTGATTTCGTCCAGCCAGATCCTGGCGGACAATCCATGACGGGGAAGGGATTCTACTACTACTGAGGCCTCGTGCTAAAAGGCACCGCACCGCACCGGCTGTGCGCAGGCAAGAGGAGGAGGAATGGATGATATACCGTGTATATATGTATATTTATGTTCATTTTGTACATTTCTAAAAATAAAGTTTAATGGAAATACTTAGTAGGCCTATCCTTTCTTCCCTGAATTCATATATAGCAAACCATGATTTGATTTCTCATCAAACAGTAGTAGTTTATAACGGGTACAAATAACTTACTCTTTGTTATGAGAGTAGCTCGTAGGCCACAACGGAAAGACAAGGAGACATACACGAGTTTACAAAACCACGGCACATTTATTGTGGTAAATGCAAAGATAGGTGGTTGAGAGGATCGCAGAGTTAGTCTTCCTGCAGCCGCTTTGGAGAGAGACTGGGGCCGTAGTGTCCGGAGGTGTCCGTGATCGTGCTGATTAGCTTCTTCAGCTCCACCGTAAGACAAAGGCCCTGGGGCCGTCACACTCTTCTATAACAACAGTTAAAAATATATATGTATATAAAATATACCGCTGTACCGACGCCATGATAAGACTGATGTTACGCTGAGAGCAGCCGGGAAAAGCACTGACATGGGCGCAGCCTCTCTGGTGGTTGACTAATCAGAACGAGTGGCCGAGCTGACCAATCGGAGCACACTAGGCTCACAGGGAGGGGGGGGCAAGAGCTCCAACGAGTCGTTTAGTGGAGAAAGTGAATACTGCTGAATACACATGCTTGACAGAGATGCTGTATGCGAAACCAATGTGAGTTTGGAAAATTGCACAGTATAAATCTATTTTAGTATACCTCAACAATGTAATTATGATCAGTGGAAATGGCCATGACATGGGCCCTTTAAATTTTTTTTTTTTTTTTAAAAGTATAGTATTTTAACCAGGCCTTTTTCCAGTTTATAGTCTCAAAAAGGCACCATGCTTGACTGACAATATGTGACTGAATGACATGGAGTCATCGTACTCAATCTTACTGTCTCGATTTTCATTCTTGTTTTCCTCTGCTACCCTGGGCCAGTACATACCACTCCACCCATCTGGATACAGGGAATATAAAAAGGAAGAAACTGCCAAAAAAAGTTTCCCCCGAGGAGAAGTTACCGTCAGCCTGGGAAAGGCAAACCAAGGAGAAAGGAGGTGATTCATCTGCAAAGGAACAATAATATATCAGTCATGTTTCATTGATCTGTCAGCAAACAGCTTTTCACAGATCCCACTGGATTTCAAAAGAAATAGGTGGGACAACTGGTCAAACAACAATTTAGTTATTATGAATTACCAACAAAACAAAGTCTCACCTTCTTTCCAAATGTGCAGAATCTCAAGGACTTGGATCTAATTCTGACGAGGAGCTGAAAACAATGTGTGTAATTAAAAGCACATGTAAACCTTCAACAAAGTGAGTGAGAAAAAAAATGACAAAACAGAGTTATTTAAATCCCAGCGATGCGCCACATTTATTATTCTGCTCTTGCAACAGTAACAGGGCCAAATAGAAAACATCCTAACATACAAAGTTCTCGATGCTGCCACAAAGCCCACAGCATGTGGTTCTGCAAACACCTTCCGAAGATCTCTATGTGGCTTTAGACCTTTGATTTAGCAACATGTAATAAGTTAGCGTGTAAACAGATAGCAAGTACTAAATGCGTTTTTGGGAAACTATGCCCCACGACCTCAGTGCTACAACCAACCTTATCAAGAAAAGCTAAATTCAAGATAAAACAATTAAGAAACCTTAGTGCACGACATAAGCTCAGTACCTGAACAAAAAGAAGCTCAACATGTTGATATCTTATGTGCCAACCAAAGATATTTGTATCTAAATTATGCCAAACTCTATAAATAAGTTCACTATGTAATTCTGCATAGTCCTTAAAACACATTTAATGCAATATGTACAAACATTCAAAACTAAATCAATACAGACTTCTCTACTTTCACATTCAATATTCACTAAACTGTTTTCAGCAGTTCATGCCACCCTTTCTAAAAACGGATGGTTTGAATATAATCTAATATGAAGTGCAAAGCTAAAGCAATACAAACAAAGAGGGCATGTAAGTTCAGTGAACAGGACATCAGTGCAGAGGTGTGTTGTGTGATAAGACTAAACAGCAGCTGTCAATGAGGAGGAGTATCAACGCTAATCTAACAGATTTGATTTCCCATAAGTGAAGGAGTAGAAATAACTTTCACACCAACGGATATTCAACATTAGCTGCAGCCACAAATAAAAAAGAGAAGTGAGTTTTTTTTTAAGAAAGAGCACGCGAAGGCTATGTCATGTTTGCATTACACTTGTTTCTGTAGCCTCTCGTCTTCTATCCAAGTCCATCCCAAAACATGAAGTAAATGCACTCTCCTTCTGCCTTATCAGGGACTAGTGTATGTGTGTGCATAGGCAATACAAAACGTCCCAAAACAGTGAAATTTAATAATAAGTTGAACTTCTCGGACAACAGAAGGGTAAAATAAGGTCCTGTTAAAACGCTGACAGGATGATAAATGTATACTGGTAAGCGTTTGTGGTCCAATATCAAATGTTCCCTTTGAATACCCTCTCATCCGTCATGACTGCTCTCAAGCTACTTTCGACAGATCCATCCATCCCATCATCAGCCGCGTCCTCTCTCCTTCCTCCCCTCCCCTTTGACCCTCCCCTCTTTCTCTACAGCCACCACGGGCGCTGCAAACTTCTTTATGACTTCTTTTCCGAACTCCTCCATTTCGTCCTCTAGGTCACTGTCCTCTTCCTCTGCGTCCTCATCTCCTTCCACCATGTCTTCCAAGATGTCTTCCAAATCCTCCACGAACTCCGTGAAGCTCGTCTGCTCGTGGACGAAGAATCCCTCCTTGAAGAACATGGCGGCTAGCTTTTTGAGCTCGTCTGTTTTGGAGGCAGCCACCCCGGCCTCCTCTGCTCTGGACAGGTAGGTTTGGAGGATGGCCTCGAACTGGGGCAGGGGGACGGGCAGCATCCCCTCCGCCTGGGCGCAGGTCTCCACTGAGCTGCACTGCTGCGTGGCTTTGGGGTTCTGCTGGAGACGGTCTCTCTGCTGCTCCCAGTACTCGGGCTGATCCAGGGAGGGTCTGCTGTGAGTGGGAGGGGGCTTCCTGTCCGCCCACAGAGGCTCTTCCTTGTGGTTTTTGTGACCGTTAGATTTGTGTTTCTGGGAGCTTGATGCGTCCTTTTTCCGATCTCCGTTGTGTTTCCTGTCTTTCTCCCCTCCTCTCTTCCACGGCTCTTCCGTCTTTTCCCACTGTTTCTTCTCATCTTTCCTCTTCCACTCCTTCTCATCCTGACCATCCTTCCACTGTTTCCTCTCCTCCTTCCCCTTCCTCTCTGGATGTTTCCTCTCCTCCCACTCTTTCTTTTCACCCTTTCCTTTGCCGTGATCTTTGCTGTTCTTTCCTTTCCAGTCACTTTCCTTCTTCACCCACTCTTTCCGATCTTCTTTTTCCCATTTCCCTTTGCCACTTTCCTTGGAGCCATCTCTCCCTCCCTTCTTCCATTCCTCCTTGCCCTTGTTCTTCTCTCCACGGTCTTTTCCTACCTTCCAATCCTTCTTCTCTTCCTTCCCGCTCCACTGTTTACCCTCCTTCACTTTCTCATGCTTTCCTTTGTTCCAGTCTTTCCCCTCACTCTTTCCTTTCCACTCTTTCTTCTCTGCCTTATCCTTCCATGGTTTCCCTTCATCACCTCTGCTAGACTTTTCTTTCTTCAAGTCTTTCTCCTTCCATTGTTTTGTCTCATCACTGGCTTTCTTCAGTTTACCTTCCTTATCTTTCTCCTTTTCAAACTTTCCTTGCTCATGTTTTCCCTTCTTCCCTTCTGCTTTGCCCCCATCTTTGAGCTCATTCTTCCCTTCTGCTTTGCCCCCATCGTTCCACTCCTTCTTCTCTCCCATGTCATGTGTATCCTTCTTCACATCTTTCTTCGTCTCCTTCTGGTCCTCCCAAGGCTTTGTGAGCTGTTTGTCTGTGGGTCCAGCTGCTTCCTGTGTGCTGTCCTCTGGTTGGACACTAGAGGGCGGTGTGGTGAGCGTCACAGGAGCTGGAGCTGCTGCTGAAAGGAAAACAAAAAGTCAATACAAAGATGAGATGTGACAATTAAATCAACATACAAGAGGAAAGGGGAAGAACCATACTGCACTCTCCCTAGCTGTCCGATCACTAGCATCCTTGTACCTGGGGGGAGTTTTAATTCAGTCACAGTGGATCTCAGAGTTTCTAGCTCTTTCTGTAGGGCAGGGACAGACTCCAGCTCTCTCTTCATCCTCTCGTTCTCTTTCTGAAGCACAGGGAGAGATGCCATCTCTTTCTTCAACCTACTGTTTTCCTCCTCCACCTCCTCCCTGCGCAGCCGCTCCTTCACTCCCTCTGCTGCGTGTCCCTTGGCTACTTTTAGCTCTTCTCCCTGTGCCTGTTGGAGAGAAAAAAAGAACGGTAAAAGAGGGTCCTGTGAGAATATTACAAACTCAGTGGCATGACACACATTCATGTATACCGCAAACACACACACTCAAGAGGGCAAATGAGGTAAGAGACAGAATGGAGTCACACCTGAAGTTGGGCTTGTAGCACAGAAATCTGCTGGTTCCCTTCGTCTAATCTATTTAGAAGCTCTGTGCTGTCAGCGTCAACTGGGAGTGGAGGAACCTCTAGATTAAGCCACTCCTGTCAACAAAAGACACACACAGCACAACGATTTTAGACATCTCAGATTCAAGATGGCCAGACAGACTAGTGGAGAAGGGAGGGAACATTAGTGCAGAGTTGTACAGTTGGTACAAAGTAGGAGTAATGTTGCGAGTTGTGTGGGTGGTCACACTAAAAATGCATGAGGGTAGTACCCATTGTACTGTAAACTAGGGACACAAATGGTATTTATAATAAATAACAGTTAGAGAATACACAGACTGAATATATACGGCGTCAGACTGACCTGTTTTCCGGGTACTTTTGCATCTTTCAGCTCCATTGTGCCATAGTCACTCTCTGCAAACGAATTATGCAAAGCTTAATGTGCATGTGAATGAACACACTGTCAAAGAAAACAAGCAAAAGCTGTGCATATGATGGAAAATGCCACCTTCCCAAACAATATTAAAATAACAACAATGTGCAACTTGTCTGTTTACACTTTTTCCTAAAACGTTTTACAGTGATCATGCTAGGAACAGTGAACAAACACCTACAAAATGGGCATTGCACTTCAAACGATATGATGTTCATACTCATACTCATTGGTTTAAATGTCTGGTGATGCCGGATAAGGATTGTATTACATATCAGCAAACAAGCCTCAAGGAAAATCATTCTCTCTTTTGCTCACACACGTCTGCATGCAGTGCTCTTGAACGTTGCTTTAAAAAAGGTATTTAGATGTAAAACAAAAAACGTTCTGCATGCACATTCAGACACAAACATGCACTGACTCACACATAACCTACCCTCATCCAGGTCCATGAAGACACCTGCAGGTACAATACACCTCAGTCTCAGAGCACCCTTTGTCTACTAATGCAGTAACTTAGGAAATATTCCTCTGACTAACTTCACTTATCCAAAGTTCAACACAGATGATCAACTTTGCAAATGTTCATTAGGGGAATCCTACCTGATAAAAAGATGGTGCCAAGGCCCAGCAGAATGAGAGCACCCAGGATGCACTTGTTCACAGAGAACCCACTGTCATCGTCCCGCCGTGGCAGCTGAAACTCTTCTTCTTCTTCGTCCGCCCGTCCAATGCGCTCCAGAGCTGCCAAGAGAGACCTCCTCCTCCTCACCTCCGGCTCTGGCTCCTCACCCGTCTTCTCAGGTCTCTCCTTACCCACCTCTGAATCCCCGGGGGAGTCTGGGTAGTGGAGAGGGAGCGAATGAGAGGCTATTGTACCTTGCAGAGGTTCAATATATTCTATGAGTACTTGAGCTGCAAAAAAAAAAATGCGATTATTTCAACTGTAATTGCAATATGATCGCGAGATTAGAGAGAATGACACTTTTTGAAACATTAACCACATTGTCTTGGATTGTAAAATGATCATGGTGAGACTTTTAAAGAAGATGTTTGTGTAAAAGAACTTTACACAATATAGCACTGACTGCAGTTTGAACATTGCACTATTGTATATTGCTATTTAGATCAAATGTAGATAAATTGTGCAGCCATCATGGTTACCCCGAGTCCCAATTGTTTAAAACAACTGATAATGTAATGTGAATGTGTTTATGAGACAATTTAATTTCCTGCCATGTTTGTTTTTTTCGAAACTGTTGCAATTACAAAGTTGATGTTAGATAGCACAGCAGCTATAGCGCTGTAAACAGTCTGAAGCTGCAGTTTACTCCAGCTGGGAGATGAGACCCGCTTCTTTATTGGCTCTGCTGTGCATGGAACGCTGGTTAATTCACTGCATTGCTTTTCCTTATTTTCCTTTAATTTGCATAAATAAGACTTCAATGTTGAATAAATGGCCCAGAAACTAATTCAAATGGTTCATTTTGGAACTTCTGGTAGAGAAACTTTCCAAACTACTGCCATCACAATTTGTTGTAAAAAGAGCAATGGGACCATTAAAGGGCTCTGTAAATAACTCCCTGACGCTGAGCTCTAGTTGGTAAACAAAAAGAGTACAACAGAAATGCACAACAGAGCAAAAGAAGGCTCATTTTTTGTAATGCCGTAGCGAGAAAAATAGCTGCAGAGCAAAAACGCCACACTGCAAAAAACTTTAGAGGTCCCAGTCCCTCTGAAGCCAATTAACTTCTGCAAGGTGTCATGCAGCCTCTGTCACATCATGCTGCCTCGTACCAACCAACGCCTCTGCAGACAACCTCCTGGCCCAGATACTGAACAATTCCAAAACCAGCTGGTCCACCAAGTACACTTCAAACACAAATAGTATATCCGGCTTAGTGTCCAAAAAATAAAAGGAAAGGATACAGGCATACCAGGTGATCATCTTTATAGAAGAACATACATAGGATAAAGAGGCTGAGGATATAGTACAGAGAGTTAACCCAACAATCACAAATACATGTTCCTCTAACCTGCAGTGCTATTTATCCATCTAGATTGTTTTGGTGTGAGATGCTGAGGGTTGGAGATACCAGTAAAACTGTCTGCCTTCTCTTTAATATTATGGGAATAGATGGCACTCTGCTTTGGTCCTGAAAGCCCCCCCAAAAAACTCACGAAGAACCGAACACCATTGTCTATATTCAGTTCATAACATAACAGGGTTACTCAAGATAATCAACAGACCTTGTTGTGAGCAGTTTCACGTAGGATCTATTGTCTTTCCACCAAACTAAAAATAATCCAACGAGTTAGCACAAGCCTGTTTATGTTAAGCGTGTCAAATGTGTTTTATTTGCTGCTCCGAGTACTACAAGCCTAGTGCTATCTAGTTCTGTTATAAGACAGATATCTCCAACATATTGCGTGTGGCCGGAAGCTTTTTTGCGATTGCGATTGTGTTAATCCAATGCGTTTTGCCGTATGCGTTCCCGTGGGGCAAGCACCTGAGTAACTCACACCAAAATAATCTGGTGACAAATATCACTGTCCCTTTTTTCTAATAATGACATGACTAAAGTTGTGTTGATCATACCTGCCTGTTTCCCTAAGTCAGCTGTTCTTGGGAAGAGGTCAGACTCCTCCCCTTCATATTGTAGCTCCTCCCCGTTCAGCGAGTGCAGCGCTTCTTCCTGTACGAGCCTCTCCACTTCCTCTATTAACTCCCCCCCTCCCAGAGTCTCTGTGCTCAGCAGGGAGGCTGGGGGCTCATCAGGGGAGGGGGTTATGTGGGTGTAGGAGTCAGAAAAAGAGTCCGGGTCAGGGCTGGCCCCTGCCGGGCCCTCTGGGAGGCCCTCTGATTGGCTGAGTTCATCACTGCCAGGAACAAGGCTGTCGGAGACTTCCAGAGAGCTGGGAGGGGGGGCTTCAGTGACGGCGGCGGGCACGGGGGGTTGCTGCTCTGTTCCCGTGTCTTCACTTAGCTCTGCTGCTTTGTCTTCTGATAGCTGGGACAAGAATCAGGTCATTACAACTCCTTAAGGTAGAACACTGTGAGGTTTGAACTCAAGCTATGTGACTAATTCAATAGCACAAGACATGTTGAGCAGTATGGTAAATATAAAGCACGTTGGCTTAGTTTAGCTCATGGACTGAAAACAGGGGGGGGTGGGTGGGTAACCTGACTCTGTTGAAAAGTAACACGATTACTACCTAAAACTGTTATTTGTTCTTTATATTTAGTTTAATACCTAGGAAAAAAAGTGTAAAAGAATCAATATAGGTACAAATAACAATCTTACAATGGGATATGTGCTGGACAATTTTTGGGCTAGAACCAGTTGCTAAGCAACCTTCAGGAAATTAACTGGCCAATAAATAGTCCAAAATGGTCCAGGAGGATATTGCTACCTTCAAACTGAGCCAACTGTTTCCAGTTTTTGTTCTAAGCTAAGCTAGCCGGCTGTTGGCCGTAGCATCATGGACAGAAATTAAATTAGTTTGAAGTGTCTATCTAACTCTGACAGAGAAGTCCATAAGTGTAGTTTACAAAACTTTGAGATATTGCTTTGAATTGAAACATATATAAGAAATAGGTTAATGTGACATGGTGGTGCATTTCTGCATTTTGTGCACATACTTGTACGGATGTTTTTAAGTTGATTAATAAAAACATAATGATGTGTACTGCAGGCTCACCAGGTGGTGGCCCTCCTCAGGGAGCTCCTCCGCTGACCCTGCCTCCTCTGCACCCTCCGCACCCTCTGCAGGCCGGCTCTCCCCAGGACCTGCTTCACAAACACAGAAACAAGGCAGGAAGGAAGACTTTAAGAGCAGTCGTTAAACATATTAATATGTGACATTACATTACATGTCACTTGTTAGACGCTTTTATCCAAAGCGACTTGCATACATTCGGTACTGTGGGCAATCCCCACAGGAGCAATCTGGGGTGAAGTGTCTTGCCCAGGGACACAACGACATGCTGACTGCAGTGGGACTCAAACTTACTACCCCTGATTCAAAGTTCAGCGCACTAAGTTCAGCACACTATCCCACTGAGCCATGTGACTATTTGAAATGTAGCAACTCTTACTTGGGAGTATGTGGATAACAAAAAATGATGTACTGTGGTAATGTACATTATTATTTGAAATTGTTCAGGTTTTTGTTCCATTTATTACCAAAGAAGACCCATGGGCAAAGCAAGTGATAGACTAGATATTATAAAAGGTTTTTGTGTGAGATATATTTCCTGTGTCAAACACAATCTCACTATCCTGAAATGTATTGTGAGAATCACCTGCAGCAGATGTGAGGCTTTCTTCATGGTGCTCCGTCCCCTCTGCTAAAGGCCTCAGGGTTTCAGCTACAGTCTCCTAGGATAAGCAAACAGGAAACAGGAAACAAACATTGTTAGCGTTAGCGCGCGCGTCTAGAAACACTCCACCCACACTTTTTTTAAAGAAAACATTTTGAGCATCCTTTTATGATAAATAAATCCCAAAAATAGAAGAGTCCCAATTAAATGAAGTAAATGGGGGCTGCGATATAAACAGAAAATTGAAAAAAAAAAAAAAAAAAAAACTCAATTTACAAACTCTCACAAAACATGCAGTATGATCCAAGTCTCATTTATCCAGTTGTATTAAATGCTCTTTTCTTCTCAAACACATGCATTTTTGAAAATACCTAGCCATTTAAAATGCTATGGACTCACACGGACAAGTACTGTAGCCCACCTGCATATATTTAAATTAGTACGATTTAAAATGCACTAGTTGTTTTAGAGAGACTAAACTGTCCTGGGTTTTAAACTCAGAGCCATTAACTTCAATGCATGAAAAATATCTCCACTTTTTGATTCTTCGTTTACCATGAAAGACAAACATGTGTTTCTTTGATAACTCAATGTAACACAGGGTAAGTCATTAATAAACAAATAATCATTCAGAAGTTACGTTTTTCTTTCAAGGCAGTTTGCACTCCTGACGTCTTCTTACAATATCTACTTAATATCAAGGTGACCCAAAAGAAAAGAAATTAGGACAAGGAGCTTTTTTCAATAAAATAATGATTTTTCCATGAGGTCATGCACAGTGACTTCCTAAGCTCTTAACAGAGTGGTGATACCTCAGGAGTGAGGATGGTCCAGCTGTTGTTAGCACTGCTGATGCCAGACATGGCCCCCTAGAGGCTGTGCCTGTCTCCTGCAATACAAGAGGAACAAACAAAACAGATTACAGAAGTTCACTGAGAATAAGACAAATGAAACGTGTACTCCTTTGTGTGTTGTGTCTATACATCAAGCTGGTTGTGTGATTCTAAGCTAATCCTACATTTTTCTATAACGGCAATTAAAAAATGCACTTGTTACTGTAGCGACAGCCAACAACCCCATTGAGCAGGTGCATTACTCAGAAGATTGACACTAGCCCACAATTATGGTGACAGTGTGAGTACTGCAGCTAAAAGATATTTACATATTCTGTTTACCCATGCTCTGGATTTGAATATATAGCTTTGCTATTCAGCCCCACCCATTCTGACAATAAATGAGCTACTGTAACATATTACCCTGTGTGTGTGTGTGAGGACATGTGTTTAAGTGTGCAGGAAGTCCAGTTCCCTGAAACCATTGAGTCCTTCATTAGTAGTTTGTGTGTGTTGAGGGCCTTTTGGTCACCCTAGCTTTTGACTAGCTGGGAAATGTTTTGGCACGGGACAGGGGTAACTAAGGCTGGCACCATTCTTAAGATACAGAATAAGAGTTTCCATTTGAAAGTTACTGGTCTGTCTACAAACCGGTACATTTCCACTGTATAATGGATATACCTTTTCCTATGTGGAATTTGGCTTCACAATGTACTGTAAGATAAACATACAGTGCTGTTTTCCTGAATCTCTGTCAACAGTTATGTTGCTGACTAACAAAACACCTTCCAGGATCCAGATCACTCAAGCGGAAACCGACTGACATTTCAATTTCACCTCCTGTTCATACAAATGTCAGGTTTTACAGCTGTATGAAGCCCTTTCCTCTCAAAACAGCAGAGGAGAACATAACATAAATATATATTTATCATGGGTAGTCTGGCTTTTGTCACTGAAAGCTAACCGCTTACATTAACACAACATTGTCTGGGTAATGATGACACACTTCACTCCCCAAATTAAATTCTATCCCAGCTCCGCAATTTAGGTCTTCTAATCGAGTGTCTCCCAAGAGAAGTCTACTGAATCTAGCCTAGGGCCCTTGGAGCATTGTGAGGCATATAGTGGAATGGCTTAAATAGATACTGGCTAAATATAGCTACCATAAGATTGAGTGGAGACAGAGCATGTAGAAAATGGCCATAAGGAACAACATAGAGACAGAAATGTATTCTAAGGACAGAGTTACAATAATTATTTTAACTGCACCACAAATCTAATGCTTTTAACAGAGGAAAATGTACTTTTCTCTGTCCTGTACTCTGTTTTTACTCACAAATAAAACCTGTTAAGCTTCTAAGAGGCTGGGTTACATCACATTTTCATAGCAGTCATATTTAAAGATAGGCTACTTGACAGCCTGCCTGATCTCAATTTATTAATACCATGTCAAACAGTGATCTGCTATTAGTTTAAATGTAGCCTTTTTTGTTCTTGAGCAAAACACAGCCAAATGAATGTTAACAGCTGTAGGCCAAACCTCACCATCTTGGTCTCAGCAGGGGAAATTACCAAAAAAGGTCAAAAGAATAAACCAGAGGACAGGCCATAAGGAAAACAATGTTAGGCTGTCAGTAAAAGCACCATGGCCAGCATGTTTACAGCAGTTCACACACAGCATCATAGAATAATAATGTATCTTTTAGTTATTGAGACCGCTTTAGAGAAGGGGCGTGATGCCTGTGACAGGAAATGTCATATGGCAGTGAGCAAAGAAAAAAAAAAAACTTATAACCGAGATAAACTCAAAAATATCACTTCTGAAAAAAACACATTGAAGACTAGTGTGAGCAGGCTTAAGCACTTAAGTTTAAAAAGCAAATAAATTACATTACACAACTTTCCACTTTAAGTGTCAACCGAGCTACCAGGAAAAAGTGAGTAAAACTACGTTGTCGACGCAATAGAAGAACAAAAAACAGACGCTGTTGCTTTGGAATATAAACACTTAATGTGCCAAAATGTAGGTTTATTCTTACCGTGGTTCGTCGCTTTACTTCAGTTCCCACAGTCTGTCACAGATACAGCAGCAGACACTTCTGAGTCTTCCCATCCAACCTGCGAACTTAGAAAGTGCCTCATGAACTTGCAAGATTGCCCCTCTCATCCAATCGCAGACAGCTTTGCCTCTGGACCCGCCCCGCTTCCTCCAACTCGACCAATGGCATGCGGCGTCAATGTGCTTCACTGGGAAATGTTCCAGGTTGATTGACACACACAGGTGACGGAGGGTATGTAAAACATACATCATCTTATATGCGTGAAGTCCATCAGTCCAAGGCATTTGATGCCAGTAGTCCATAGGCTTGGGTCGATTCAGGTTATTGGTTACAATATCCTTCAAGACAACTTGTAAAATGTGTCATGTTTTTTGTTCAATACATAATTCATTAATTGGAGCTCAATAAAGACACACTATTGTGCAAACTATGTCTAAGTCACATTAAAGTTGGACACCTAATCAATATTTCTATATATATATATATTCTTCAGCTGTACAAGTAAACTAAAATATTAACCAAAACAAAATGAAAAAACATGCAGACATAACGGTTATCTTTTTTCTATTCATCAGTTATTTTTATTCATTGAACGCCAGTTTGTGTTGTACAGTGAACACCAGGGCTGCCATTCCTCAAGTAGTCAGATCAGCAGGGTTGAACTCAGGAAACTCTGACCCAGTCTCTCAGTGAGCATTTGAAGCTTCTGAAAAAGTGCAAGTGTGTTTCCTGGAACCCAAGAAGAGCATCCTACAACCACTGGAAAACAGAGATACAAATGTTTCAACACAAACTATGTTATGATAAGAACAACTATTCGCCATATAAATTGATGCTTTCTAAAATTGAGATCCTCACTTTAACAGTACCATACATAAATTGCAATATAATCAAATTAGACTCAAGTAGTTTGTTGTCATATGAGAAAAAACTCATACTTGCCAATGATTTGCCAGAACTGCTGATCAAACACTCCATTCTCAATGAAATAGAAGTTGGTTGAAATAACACTCAAGGAGCCGTCGGAAAAAAGTGAAAATCAATGTTCAACCACTTGATCCAGTCTCTTAGTCCAGGATCTCTTTGATGCACCAGCAGCAGAGCAGGAAATAGAGGCACTCCTTAACCGACTGGATAAAACCGTAGGCAACGTTTCCTCCCAATAAGTTCTTGCCTCTTCCCAGACCCATGGCCATGTCCCGCAGATTCTGTCCCAGAGAGGAGGAGGGCATGGCCTGAGGAAGAGGACGCTGGGGATGCATGGCTCCGGAGAGAAAGCGAAGCAGAGGCATCAAAGAGGCCAGCCGACGAGAAGAAATATGAGGTGATGTCTGACAAGTTGAATCAGACTGTGCCAGTGCAACAGTTGAGGTCTGCTTCGTATTCCTGGCACAGTTAGCCCCTCTACTTATAACCTCCTATACAAGCTGCAGGCTGCCTCCATTCACATCCTGCTTTTTCGCGACTGTTCTCTGCTTTCAAACATCCGCTGATTGATTGAAGGCCTTGTTTACCTTTGCTTTGCACTATTCCCTTCTGTTGTATAGGACCCCACACACTCTCTCCCTGCGCTCTAATAATCCCTGAATCAGCCCCCTACTGTTACAGGCTCATCTGTTCTCAAACAAGAGGGTTCCAGTAGCTACAGTACAACTGCCCCTGCACCCCACTCTTTGTTCAGGACATGTCAGGCGATCATACCTTCCAGCAGTGTCTGCTTCGTTGTTTATTTTCCAAAGTTGTTTGGTGTACTTTTATAGAAAAATGAAGTTATCTTATAAATAAAGCCTTTCCAACAAAGGGCCACACTCTCAGGCCTAACACACACTTATATCAGAAGCCAAACTCACAGAGAGAGATGAATGATATATGTATTTATATATGCAATCTATATTTTCAGATACAGGTGTAAACACAAATGTTTCCCTAAAAACAAAAAGTACTAAAAAACAGAAACACAGAAAGTAAAAATCAATATCTTTGCACGCTATTCAAAAGTAACCTTTGGCTTTCACAAATTAAAAAGTACAACAGCATCATCAACACTATCACCATCACCAACAACAAACAACACATACAAAAAAAGGATTTTCATGCAACAAAGGCATCTGTGATGAAGGAAGATAACACAGGACTGGTTCACTGATGATGACGAGGGTCCAGTGGGTCAGTTTATGAACACACACTCACAGTAATGGCAGATATTAAAGCTCTGGTTTTCCCATCTCTGACCTACAAAAACCTAAACAGGTGTGTGTGTGTCACTGACCCAGCTGTCAGTCAGGTATGTGTATGTGTGCATTACATATGAACCCACTTCAGGGTCTGACGACTAGTTGACAGTTAAGGTTTAGCTTAAAAGATCCCTTCTCATGTTTCAAGAGTTTGGCATCGACTTCTTTGACAAGTTCAATTGGATTTAAAAAGAGCTACCTCAGTGCTGTGGTGTTTTCTTTTTCTCACATAAGTCATTAAGGACATGATAACAATAATCCAACACTGAACTGACCAATCAAGAGTCTATGTTATTTACAGATGGTCAGGAAATTACCCCTCCCTCCACGATGACATCAAGTATCTGTGACTATAAGCTGAATGCAAGAATGTGCAAGAGGAGATTGCCATCACTGGATCTGTGTGTGAGTGTTTATTGGAGTGTCATTTTTGCAAAGTCTTTGTTTAACTGAGAGGCTTGTGTGAGATTCTCCTGTAGTCTACTACATTTGAATTAAGTACATAAGGTGACTGCATTGAAGTCACGTGACTGCATTGAAGAAACAAGGCACAATTAAAAAGATATACAAAAACAACATCATCATCATGAACTGAGGAAGGAGAAATAGAGAAGGACAAAAAAATAGCGTGAACTTCTCCCCCCTAGATCCTCAGTTTGTGAAAACAGCACACTGAGGAGCAACATTTGGCTTAACATTAGCAATGCTCCGAAAACAGGTATGTACTTTTTGTTTAGTTACCACCAAACCACCTCATTTTTTTTTCCCAAAGCACATTATTCCCTCAAGTGATTGAAAAATAAAGCAACATCACGATTCACAAAATCACCTTACCAGTTACAATGATCATTTTGCAGAGGGAGAGTAATTGCGTGGACTGTTCAATGTTTGCCTAAATTTAAAGCGCTCTTTTTTTAAACTCCTCTGCTTTCAGTCATAATCCCCCATAAAGATATAAACCATAGATTGTCAGTGCAAACACACACTAAGTGTCAAATTATGCTTCTCTTAACATACTTGCTATTGCGTTTTTTTTGGTGACATCAATGCACAATTTACTTACAAAATCTCAGTTTTGATAATGTAGTCAAACACAACACCTAGATTCTTCTCCCCCCTAAATCCAATTTTAATATGCATATTAAATCTAAACTTGCTCCCAATGCTGTAAGCCTACATGATAGATAACTGCTGATGGTTGTCATGGCTTTTCTCTGCTGTTGGCAACCAATTCATGTTCTTTGGCATGACAGGTGGTGCAGACCATGTGTGGTTTAAAGGTGTGTGTGTGTGTGTGTGTGTGTATGTGTGTGTGTATGTGTGTGTGTGTGTGTGTGTGTGTGTGTGTATTTACAGAGGGATTAGGGAGATACAGCTGTTTAGATCCTCCTCAGAATGTCCTAGAAGTAATGAGTCCCAAGAGAACAGTTAAAAAAAAAAAAAGGACGTGGTCATTGGCGTAGCAATCCCCCAGTTTTGCATACAGGCTTTCATCGTCGCCAGGTATCACTCCAGGGGTCAAAGTTCAAAAGTCCTTAAAAGGGGAGTGGCTTGGGGCAGCCTCCCCTGATTAGGTTGGAAGCAAAAACTCGTTTATGCATAATCCCCAGGCTTTTTTTTTTTTTTTTTTTTAAAGTCAGGTTTGCTGCTGAAGTGCTCCATTGACACGTGAAGTGAAGAGTTTATGTCTCTGGAAAAAACAATCATTACCATCCAGTTCCTGTTTTGCCAAATATGCTCCAGCGACAGTGCGAGGAGGGAAATCATTTCGCTGAATGAAACAACACACGGTTACAAGCACTGAAAATCTCATTCAATGTCCCATTAATGCTCCTTTCTTCATGTTTGAGTCCTTTTTTTTGGTACAAGATTCCATGAATTAGTTCTTATTTTTTTCTCATAAATTGCATGTTATTTTTTTTCCTTATAAAAAAATGCATTTTGTTTTCCGCCCTGTTTTTAAATTAGCAAAGGGCTCCTCCCTGGTTCACAGTAGGCTGTTGAGAAATTGCAGCGGTGCTTCTCCGTGTTGGAGGGGTGCGCCTGAAAAGAGTTGGGGGTCGAAGACTGCAGGTCACAGTTCAGCTTTCAGAAAGGAAAGGAATATGTAGCAACAGCAGCAAGTGTGTGATTTACAGAAAGATTATATATTTTTGGCTTTCTTTGCAGTGTTGTGTGCATATTTATTATTGTATATGTATGTATGCATCTGTGTTTAGTGTAGTGTTGCTGTGTTTAAAGCATATGAAGGTGTCTATGTCTGGTGTTGAATTGCTTCAGGAGTGTGTACATTTGGTGGAGTATTTCATTGGCTTGTGTAACGTTAGGCTCTGCGCTCTACTGGCTGTTGCAGACACACTTCGCTACCAGCAGATACGATGGGGAGTCTGTTGTCCATGTGGTAACTGATCAGGTGACTCACACTTTCAAACCGATGGTCTTTTGTGCGGACCTAAAAGACATAAAAAAAGTGTTAAAGGCAAGATACAAACCTATACAACCAAGTGTTAGGAATACAAAATGGCCAATTCATGCTTCTTCATCCCCTTTGTAATCTCTCTCGCCCCTTATGATCTCCTCCCCCCTTCATGACTCACCACTCCTTCTGGGTCGACTAGTAGCAGGTGTTTGGGCTGACCCCCCTGCTGTCCCGTGAGGACATACTGTCCAGGCGTGGTTCCAGACTCTCGCACGAGGAAGTCTCCATCGCGGGTCAGAAGCCTCTCTGCCTCCCTGCGACTCAAGCTACCGTGGAACCAGGACTCGCACTGCAGCTGCTCCACCAGAGGGGGCGCCGCTGACACCGAGTTTGGACCACCATGTCCAGAGACTCCCAGGGCATCGTCAAACGGCTCTTTAGAAAATAAATACACATATAATTGTATTCTTTTATTGTTTATGCACATGTATAGGAAAACTCATGTTCCTGGTTTATTTTATAAAGAAGATGATTGGACCTTATCCAAGTGAAGCGCATGGATCGACAGATGCATGCCATACTCTGATAGTGGACTGTGTCTCTAATGTGAAAGGCTTTATGCAGTCAACCAATCATGTAACATAAAATGCCCCTGTAATGGACAAAGGCACTCTAATTCCCTTATCTTCCTCCAAGACAGCCTTCTGCGGGCAGCTCCACTCTTCAATTAGCCTTTCATATGGAATGTAAAGCACACACTACTCTGCTCGTCTCATCAGTCAATAATTAACCCCTATTCTTTCCACATGGTAACATAACTGCACATTTGTGCTACCGGTATTTCTGTTCATTAAGCTTTCAACCCACAGAATTTGTCATTTACAAGAAATCATATAATAACTTATTTCAGTTATTTAATTTCCCTGCATTTCAGCTTCATTTATCAAGCTGGTGTGATATTACTAACACATAATAGAAAGACTGAGTAAAGCACTTACTCATGTCAAAAGCATCTCTGTGAGCATTTCCATTGGCTGCAACTGGGAGACGGGGTTTGTCAACGTTGACGTATGAAGGGTCATCGAACAGTTCTCGTCCCCCTTCTTTGGCACCCACTAGAAGAAGGAAAGGAAAAAACAGGTAAGCGACCTTAGCACAACTTTTCCATTTCTTCCTTAGCCATGCACAGTTGATAGCTTAGTTACAATTAGCATGGGAGTTGTTGAGTTACGGGACAACATGTTGTGTGCAGTCAAAGTGACCTTGACCATTGTCCACCAATATCTGGGTCAATATCACTATAAAGTAACTTTGGTGTCCCCATCAGAATCCCTCAGTTATCATGAAAATGTAGCAGAATAATGAAACTCTGAGGTCTTATTATAAAAGGCCAAATATTTACACACATATCAGTACAATGATAAGTCTCTTGAAATGCGTTTCCTTCCTTTTATACCGTATTTTTTAATTGGATGTACGTGATTTTGGCATGTCCCGCACACTGCTCTGCTGACTACAGTGTGTGTAATAAGTGGTTAAATGATACTACATTTAAAAAATAATAATATGGTTTTATTGTCCACAACGAGTTATTTGATAAAACGAGTCATTTTTATCATGTATATTCTATTTTCATAATAATATTGAACATTTTTCATGTGTCCCTGACATTTGCTGTCCACCCTGTCATTAAGGGGTAACTGCCCCGTAAAAAACCCTCTGATGTTTTCAGTGACATAACTACCACCATTTTGTCTTTCCTCAATGGAGGCTGAGACATTGGCTAGTTGCAAAGTACGTGTTTTTACTTATATTTCGAAATTGTAATCATATTATGTGTGTAGTTGGATATTGTCAAGCTTAACATGTCCACTCTGTCATAGTGAAATGTCAATGAATAGAAAAACCTTTCAGAAATTCAAAATATATTTGTTAAACAGTATACAGTCACCTTACTAACTGAATCATGTTGCTAACTGAAGGTCCACCATGTGCTCATTAAATGCTAATATTAGCCAAAAATGTCCACCCTGTCAGCAAGCCTTCCATAAATAATATAAAATGTACATTTTCAGAAAGCTATAGTCCCTTTCTCAACAATATATTTCAGTTAATGGAAAAAGTATTTGGATAATAATGAAATGATGGCAAACTATTTGTACCATTGTCCACCCTGTCAGCAAGCCTTCCCATGACAGGGTGGACATGGACATTTTGTCCATGAGGGTGGATACATTTAGCTGTTTGCATGTACTTTGCACAACCCGGGCCCTGAGGTCCTCTGAGCAAGGCCTCCTAAGGGTGCCCCGAACCAGGCTAAAAACAAAGGGGGACCGTGCCTTTGAGGTGGTGGCCTCAAGGCTCTGGAACTAAGAGCCTCTGCCTCAGTAGAGATTTTTAAGGGGCAGTTAAAGACCCACCTCTTCCGTCAGGCCTTTGGGGCATCGGAGGAGGTGAGTTAGTAGCTGTCTTTTATTGGTGTTTTATCGTATGTTTTATCCTATGTATTACCTGCTGTTGTTTTATGCCTTTTTATGCCTTTTATTCTACATTTTAGTTGTACTGTGAGTTGTGTACTGTACTGTAAAGCACTTTGTACATTCGTGTTGAGAAGGGTGCTATATAAATAAAGTTTTACTTACTTACTTACTTACTTACTTACTTACTTGCAGTTAATTTATAAAAAGTGTGGGAGCTTGACCAACATCCATTTCTAACAGCATAACGTATACTTAATACAATGAATATGAAGTTTAATGGAAAATCTCAGATTTCTTTTTTGGAAATGGGGAAGTCTCAAATGCACCGTATGGTGATATTGACCCATCTATCAATTCACCATTGAGTCCAATTGGCTGTTTGTGCCAACATGGTGGTCGAGGTTTATAGATTTAACAAAGAAAGAAAGACATAGTATTGTAAAAAAATGAGTGACTGAGTTCTATCATAATTGTACCTGGATGAAAATCTGTCCAGTGCCTTACAGAGACAGGCAGAGACTCACCTGGTAGAGGCGGCAGAGGCTGCTTGTGGATGTCATTCTGGCCTGGCTGTCCATACGGCTGCAAACACAGAGGAATAAAAACAAATAATGACTCATGACCACATGTGGGCTTGCTCTTGTGTCTATATACACAAATATATTCTTAATAGGGTTACAAAGGGTCACTGTCAATTTGTATAGCACAAACAGAGCAACTCATATTATTGCTCTTTAATTTTCTCGTCTTGATGATAACATTTTGAAGCGAGGTTTTTTAACTGGTGTATCATCTATTGACTGCAGTATAAGTATAGTTTGGATGTGTTGAAGCAGTATCTGTTGCATTTTATATGCATATTTCTCACCAGCGTGGCACCCGGGCGGGTCCTCATGTCAACCAGTCCACCAGGGGGAGGCTGTTTTCCAGGGAAATTATTATAGTAAGGGACGTCAGGAGGTTGAGCAGCCTCTTCATCTTCTTCCTCCCACGCAGAGCCGTCAAACGGAGCCATTCTGAGACAGAAAGAGGTGATCAAAACAGATAAGATGTGACAAAATACAAACACAGGCTCATGTTTTGGGCCTGAGTGAGGGACATGTTTTGCATTTACCTGTCGTGAGGTGTGACCAGTTTGGGAGGGTTCTTTAGGTACTGTTTGAAACGCAGTTCAAAGGCCTGGCCAATGGTGCTGATGACTTCCTGGGCTAAACCCTCTGAGCACTCCAGGATATGACAAGCTAGAGCAGAGGAAGCACACATGACTAATAAGGAAGCTGCAGCAACATGTATTTGAAAGCAATATGCAAAGATAGAGAAATATTTGGAATTGCAAGCAAAGAAGAATACTGTGTATGCATGTGTATTTTCAGCAGCAGTACATTCTTACATGTGTCTTGAATAATGACACTTAGGTAGTTATGACTGAATTGCATAGAGAACACAAATAGTTCTAAATATAATAATATCGTTTTAAATATGTCATTTGTCTGTTGCTCCTGAGCTAAATGCGAAACAGGGAATTTGATTTCCGTCCATTTTAGATAGTTACATTGAAAATCGAGTCACATGTTCACATAATTAGCATAAGAGCATGACTAAAGCAGAATATGCCAAACAATTAAAAACAGTTCTGTTATTTGCTATGCCTATTTAGTGTTCAATGTACTGTTTCTTCCTTCGCTCTGCACTCTGAGTCTGTAATGTCTCAGCTCTAGTGGGCGACTTCTCAAATTCAAAAGAGGGTAAAATATGAATAGAGCCATATCATTCATTTAATAGGATTCATTATAATTTCATAAAACGTCTTGTTCTCATTTATTTACAGCATTATACAGAAGTACATGGAGTAGCATTTTCAAAACATATTTCACCATCCAGAGACTGAATGTAGAGAGAAAATGTGGAACTCGTGTACCGAAGGATCGCGGTCAGAGTTCTGCTCAAACCAAGGCACTGAACAAGTTGAACATGACTTCAATATGATTTTTTTAAGAGCCTCTTTTGTCAGATGCTGCCTGAGTGAAGGTGTCCTTTCTGCTCACCTCTCTGGTTGACTGGGTCTTTGGCCACATATGCTACGTACTCAGCCGTATCCTGAGGGAGACAGGGTGAGAAAGTTAGGAGGGAAGGGTACAAAAAAATATCAGGAGGAAAAAGTGAAGGGCAGGTTTAAGATAGAAAGGTTAAACAAGAGATAAAGCAAAAGCTGCTGTCTTAAAGTCAAAACAGAGGTTAAAAACATACATTGAGCTGAAAGAGAAAAAGACAGGAAGTAACAAGATCAAGGTTGAGAGAGAAAGACTGCAAACCAGCGAGGCAGCAACGGAGTGAGTGGCATTCTTATGAATAGACAATGACAGAAGACAGGAAGGAAGGATATGCAGGCTGAAGAAAGATGGAAAAAGGCCAGAGTGAGATTTGAGCTGAGCTAGACAGTGACTCACTGGGTCTCCTCCAGAGGCGAAGGAGATGGACTGCATGTGATGGTTGGCGATTATCTGTGGAGAAAAAGAAAGAGAGAGAGAGAGAGGGGGGGGGGGGGGAGAGATGGAGACAGAAGGAGAGCACGTGGGTGACATGAAGTATGTGAGAAGTGAGATGAAAGCATGTGGATGGTGAGACAAATGTGGAATCATTACTGGGAAAAGTGCTTTCCCCTCCATTGAGAAGCATCATCTGCAGCAGAGATACAACTAAGTGGGACAGCAGACGGAACACCTTTTTAACAGTCTGCAGCAACCTCCCATTCAGGATCAATAAAGACATCAACACTTGCTAATGCTCCGTGCACAATGTGCGGTCTATGTCTGAGGCTGTATTTGTGAATGGATGTATGTGTATGGCATGTTTCTTTGTGCACTGCACTATCCTGTGCTGATGCCACAAAGAAATAAACATCATTCAGCAGTTATTAACTCATAAGCGGAAGATCACTTCCTGCCCCGTGGCGATGCAGGAATGAAGACGATGGTTGAGAGTAGTTTGTGCTTCATCCAAAATAAATGAGGCAAGGGAAGAATTCTATTACTTCCCTGGGCATCTTTAAAAGGTCAAAACACATACAAAATAATACCTTGAGTTAAGTGGATATTTATTAAGATATTTTCTTGATGTAAAGTCTAAAACATATATTTTTTTAACAATTCAAATACGACTTTATGTGGAATTCAAGTTAAATCTGATGTTTATATTAAATACAGAGTAAAAGTGACGGAAATTATGTTATTGAAGCTTAAAAACATTCTTTGAAATGATCATAAAACTCTGAAGTATGTAGTTCATAATAGTATATATAATTATGATAAATAATAATCAGGCGTTTTACATAGTGTAGCCAGCTTTGAATGACAAACAATATAATATTTTAAAAAAATGTTTCAAGTTACAAGCGTATAAAAACAATTCATATCTAAAACTCTTTTTGAAGTTAGTTTTTATAATCCTTAAATCCACATGAAATACCTCAAGCAGAGAGATCTGCTTTGCTCTGCTTCAGAAAACTGCACAGGCTTAGTGCTCTCCAGATAGCAAACACACCTCTGGCTACAGAGCTCTAACTATCAGACGCATCTCTGACTCACAGTCAAATCTCTGGAGATCAGGGACAACTCTACAGACACCAACAGAGTTTCTTAAGGAAAAATACACAGAAAAGCAGCTTCAAGTGTGAGCTGGTTGTAGTCTAACCTGTTTGCAGTCAGCGGCCAGAAGGTTGAGGCTGCTGGTGGAGATGGTGAGGGTGATTGTCATGCCGGCAAATTGCAGGTTACTCTTCCCCAGGATGGATGTCATACAGCGAGAAGATGGCTGAGAAAGACAGGGATTTCATCAATGAGTAACAAACAAGGTGCAAAAACATAAACAGGCTTTCTTTTGTACTCCAACATGGCACGGTCGCCCATTGAGTCCCCCCTGCCTTTGCATGAGCCTGTGGGCGTATGTGTGGGCGTATGTGTGGACATGCCTGTGTGTGTGGGAGTGGAAGAACAGCTGCAATTGTAAAAATGATCCTGTCTCCAAGGCCAACTGTGTCCAATGAACATCTAGCATACTGAAGGCTGGGCCAAGAGCATCACTCAGACCAGCAGTGTTGTGGCAGCCTGTTCATCCCAATCCTCCTCCTGCTCTCATCCATATTTGCCTCAGAGTATTTGGCGTGCGCTGTGAGAAAAATAGCATCAGGGCAGGATGCACATTGCTCAGCCACATTAACCTCAGTCCAGCCAAATCTGAGGTACTAGACTGCTTTTATTCTAGTTTACATCCTTAACTAGATGTTGTCTGGTGCGCCAGACATTCCTTGTTTAAATCCTACTCTGACAGCGGGCTGCTGGATTTAGCCACCTGTTTTATTGAGTGTTTGGGTGGATGTTTAGTTTTACAGGAACACATGGAGTCTTAACGCAGCAGACTCTTGACTGCATCTGCTTCTCTTTAATGCTTCTCTGGTCAGACAGTGGCTCCACACATGCTACTACTCCACCTCTCCAGCCTCCCTTGTGACAAGAGGGCGGGCAAAGGGAGACCGGAGAGTGATTGGTAATTACTTGCGAGCAGGCCACTAACCGCAGAAGAGTACAATCATCCTAAATCAAGATCTGTTTGCGTGTGTGCGTGTGTGTTTGTAAGGGAAAGTGTGTGACTGAATAGTCAACTGACCACAGAGTGGACAATCAAGCTAAATCCAGCTCTTATCCTGAAAACCCATTCCCACCGTCCACTTAAGACGTATAAATAAATAATGCCCTGTAAGGGTGTGTGCTTGTGTACATGTTGTGTACCTTTCTCCGGCGCTGGGCTCCTTTGGCTCCGGGCACGGCCTCGCACACCACGGAGATTGCCTCCCTGAAACACAACATGCAAGAATTACAATAACATGTCATTAATCCTTACACCTTCTCGGAATCACAATTACGTGGACAATTAAGTGAGAGCTGGCAGTGGCTGATTTCATTTATCATCCCTACACTGTGCTCGTCTTTTCCATGGAGACAAACATCACTACGGAAACCAGAAGGAAACCACAAGGATTCCAGAACATTCTAATTTAGGGGATGCCAGAGCTGCAGGCGTGCACACACACACAGTCAGACACTAACTGAGTAAGTAACAAGCAAGCAAGCAAAAGCGACCGGAAGCCGAAGAGGCGGCAAATACATATATGAGAGGTGGGCGGTGCTTTTTGTCTGACCACACTTCCCCGCACCATCTCGCCCCCACATGTAGCGATGAGACATTGAGTGAGCAAAATGGCCCGCCAGTGACAGAGGAGCAGTGTATAATCTCACCTGGTGACCTGAGTTCTGGTGTTGAAGTCCAGCGCTCGCATCGACTGTAGCACTTCCACGCAGCCCATGTACTGAAATAGGAAACAGGAAGGCAGCGCATTAGCATCAGACATTTCCTGCATCACAGTCCCATTGCACAGATGGAACACAACAGAGGAAGAAAAGCAAATGGTGTTTTCTTTTCATTTCTGGAGTCTAAAAATGTGAGAGAAGGCGGTTTATATGCATAGAAACTGTCTGGACAGAGGGATGTGTGATTATATATTTTAGGGGGTTGTAAGAGTGTGCCAGACACTTACCCGGACACTGTAGGAAACACCGGCGCTGGTGACCACACTATCGGAGTGCAGCCAGCCGCGGGTGGGCTTGTTGACAAAGGAGCCATGGCGCGTCCACTCGTCTCCTCCCAGCTGCCCTCCTTCCACGCGTGCCCTCCTGGACGCCCCTCCCAGCCGGTTCATGTCCTGCAGAGGAGGTCGGGGAGGGGGAGAAGGAGCGGTTAAAGGGGGTATTAGGTGATGAAAAATAGGGGAGGAGCTGGAGTTACTCCTGTCGTCCCCAGAGGACTCAACAGGCGCATGGGGCAGCTGCAGCCCTCTCGAGGCCTTGAGTCCAGGGAGAAGAGTGGCAGAGACACCCAGGCGGAGGGATCCCATTCTGGGGAAGAAGGAGCAGAGGGTGGTGGGGCTGTTCTCAGCCTGGCGGGGAGAGGAAGGGGGCAAGATGGGAGTGAGAGACGAGGAGGAGAAAGAGGAAGGTAAACCAGGGGAGGGAGTGAGCGGGCCGGCAGGACTGGATGGAGGGAACGATGATGGATTGGAGTTTGTTTCATCAGTTGAGCTCAGCGACTCACTCCGAAAGTGGGTGTACTTGGTTTTTGGGACGAGCTCCATAGTGAATCTGCAGTGTCAGTCTTTAAATCCACACAGTCTCTAGTGATTCAATCAAAGTCTTTATGTCTCAGTATTCAATGTGTTTCTCTATAAAGGACACACAGCCATCTGTATGTCCCATCCGTCTGGTTTTCTGTCCTCCACTCGTTACCAGGCGGCTGAAACCCAGCTGCTTTAAAAACGGCTGTACCCACGATGAAAGGAGAATGAGAAGAAGAAAAGTTGGATGTCCCAGTTAATGGAAGAAGCCGATGAAAAAAGTGTATTTGTTCTGCACCAGTGCATATCATGTTGTCATCAGTTCACTTTTAAATCTGCATCAAGGTTCATGTGTTCCCAGGGACTGAGGACGACAGTCTTAGCTCTCCACAAAGTGTTCGTCTTGGAGTTTTTGCCACAATGTAAAACAATATCTGTGAGTATCTTGAAGCCGGACTTAATAGCCTCTCAGTGAGGGCCTGTTATCCAGCTGTCGGCTTCACCATGGAGAATCAACACAAGTGATTGTCTCTCAACGCCCCCTCCCATGTGTCTTTGCACTGAGGGGTGCGCTCTCATAATGTGATGTGTTGACACGTGTGCGAGGCTGTATAAATCTTCCCGGCCCACAAGGCTTCTTAAGATGGTCTGTGTGTGTGTGTGTGTGTGTGTTGTGGTGTGTACATGCGTGGAAGTGTGAAGCTTTTTGGCAGCTCTATCCTGCTTGACACATGCCTATAAAAATCCTATTAGCAGCCAACGAGGGGATCACAAGGGGGTTGCGCGCATGTACACTCCAGCAACACACACAATAGACAGCTCCAATTGTTTTTCGATACTACAGTGAAGAAGAGAGAGGAGGCTTACTGATGTATGGCTAGTATCCAACGCAGCACGCTTTCTTTACCACCTACTTTTGAGTGCATCGTAATCTCAAATCTTACCACGCGTTCCTGTTTTACTCCCTCTCTTTCTTCCTCCAAATGATATCATGTCCTCTCTGAATGGCCCTGGCTCTCTCCCTCCCTGCGTCTGCGTCTCCTTCTTCTTCTACTTCTCCTCTCCTCTTCCAGATAACTTCTGGCCCTGCCCCGTTCTCTTTCTCGGCACTCTTTCCTCCCTTCTCCCTGTCTCTCTTCTCCTGGAAGCCCTCTCTCTTCCTCCACACAATGTACTCTGCCAGTCTCTGTCTCTCCAACGCCTCCGCCCTCTCCCTCACCACCACTTCCTCTCTCCTCTTCCAGATGATCTCTCGCTCCCCCTCACCCCCTCCCCCGTATGCTCTCCCGTTCTCCAGGCTGTCTGGTTAACAGTCCCCTGTATAATATATTAATGGTGAGCCGTGTCTTTCCGCCGCGCCAACTTTAATATTAAGGATCTAGAGGCCAGGCACGGTCACCTATTTAGACACAAGTAGAAAACAGAAAAGAAGTGAGTATAAGACTGGGCCGTTAGAGTTTGGCCCGTTCCTGACTCAAGTTCCTGATATGGCTAAAACAAGTTGCCTTGGTTCAAGTGTGTTTCCAAAACTGGCCAACTCGGTAAGGATGTTTTTTTTTCTAGAGCACCATTAGTTAGTGGTAGGTAAGCTGACTCTGAGATGTTGTCTGTGTCTGGTACAGTGACACACTCTGCAGTAGCACGGTGGTGATGTAACACCAGAGAATGTAGGTCATTGGCTGATGACGACTACCGGTGGGCTTGTGATGGTAATGAGACCTGAATTGTCCGGTTTGAGCCCTCAACCCAGCATTCCCTGAATGGTGCTGGATGCTCCTGGGAGTTGAGCTCACCAAGCTGGAGAGGCTCAAATAAAACTGTTGGTATGTTGAGTTTTTATTTGCAGCTCTCTTCTCACCCTATCACTTGGTTACTGCCTGGTGTAAAACAACAAGCCCAGATTGTAGTCAGTTTCCTGAGAGAAGAGCTTTGACTCAGCCCTATATGATATGAACAGGCCACGTGTTATACTCCGGAACCTTATCTAAGGCAGGGCTTATCAAGCAGCCGGTTAGCTCTCAGTTCTAGTTCACACTACTGTACAGACGCTGCATAACATCCCTTATTCTGCATAGTCCAACCTAGAAGGCAAACAACAGTCTGTTTACAGTAACAGTCTCTTGCAGAGTCCAACTAACTAAACCATGTGCAGCAGTTTGACCTCAGTAGAAGGTAAGGCAGTCCTGCAGCAAGCTGGCTGGCCTACACCTCAGTGCTGTTTACGCACCTGTTATATTTCAAATCTCTTGACCTTTACTCCCTGAAAGGAGAGCAAGATGTACACCACCTTGCCTACGCCACTTACACAACTCTGTGAATCTGCCACCGAAGTTTCAGTGATGCCAAGTGAGGAGGTTGACTTTTCCACACACTAACATTTCCGAAGTTAACTGTGTTCAAAGAACTACGCACCAGCTTGTAGTGGGCGCTGAATGCATGGTAAAGGAACAGTCGCCCACACCAGTCTAGCACCACAGAGGGATTGTCTAGCAATTCTAGCTAGTCATCCATCTGGTCCTGGCCAAAAAGCACCATGGAGGATCCAGTCACACTAACGCACTGCCAGACAGGGTGGGATGATCTCTAGAAAACTGTAAAGAAGTATGGCTGGAAAAAGTCACAAAAGACACCCTGTATTTGGCCAATCAAAAAGCAGGCAGAACAAACAACACCGTCTGTCACACACCTAATTAAAACAGAAATTAGTCTTGAGAGGGAATTAGTTCTTAAAAAGGGAAAAAGATCCTAAATGGACACACAAGAGGAAAATCGACAATTGTTTAAGTGCACAGAACACAATGTAGGTCAGGTGACTGCAGGGGAAATGACCCTCTGCATGAGGATAAATCCTGACTCACCTACACAAAGACAGTCAGGGGAACAGACCGTCACAAAGAGCAGTACTAATGATCAGTCATTAGTGGCACATGACACGTACAAGTGACACAGCACGATAATCTCATTTATGCAGTCATTCCTGATATTGGCAGCTTCACTGATGAAAATTGTAGTTGCCGATAAAGGTGAGATCAGGACAAGCGGGGCTGCGCCGATTCACACTAGACTAAAGCACAGAATGGGGAGGGGGGAGACAGGTGACCTGAAACAACCCTGATTCTCGGAGACTGCTGCGCTCCGAATAGACAAAGGATGTCTAGTAAAGAGAAAACATTCTAAGACAGAAAGTCTCAAAAACACCTGCAAACAACCATGCACTTAGTTTTTCTTATCTCCACAATATACACAGTTATCCTAAGGGAACAGCACCGGCTTTAAAATACAAGACACAAAAAACTACTTTAAATCTTGTTCTGTCTGCAGCTGCTGCCCGTTGCTATGGCAACAGACATTAAAAAGAGATGCCTGCGGAGGAAATATACGGAGAAGTCCCGACAAGCACAGAAATCTTCGGACAAAGAGATAACTGCTTTGTCAAATCACATGACAGCAATTAGCTGCTGCATCAAAGGCTGCACATGGAGCTTGTTTTCCAACAGCAGGAACAACTAAAGACTCAGAGAGAAATCAATAGGTTACAGGAAATGATCAAAGTTTGACCGGCGTCGCGCCAGCCATAAAACCCAATCAATGTTGACATCCCATGTCGGCTGCATGCACTGATTCCGACTATGGCATGCACAACTGTTATTATATCAAAAGAACAATTAGCACTTTCCTAATGACAGTATAAACAACAACAGCTCCACAAACCACTTACTTCTAAAAGACAACACTGATGTTTAGAAAAGTTGCATAAAACCCTGAATATTCTCAGCAGCAGCTAACAAAGATAGTGATTGTATAACGTCCTGCAGAGAATGCTCATAGAGAATAGAAAGTCATGTCACAAAGAGTCTATGTTTAAAAAGGCAAACAGAAAAGTCATTCAAATAGTTTTGGATAAAGTGAGTCTGATCAATTTCTCTAAGAGTTGTTTTTTGTGAATGGCTAAATAAATAGTTCCCTTTTTTGGTTTAAAAAGCATACAGTTGATAATCCATGGTGATTCATCTGAAGCTTATTTTTTACATGAGAACCACATTAATTTTTAAACAGCCTCAGACTGTCCGGTCTTCTGTCCTCTCCTTCCTCTTTCTGGCTCTCCGTCCGTCCACTCCCTGAAAAACGTGTTTCTCCTCTGATCCGCTCGATTAATTCACAAAGTCACTGCCGGCAGCTCCTCTCCATCTATCCTCTCCTCCGTTTGGCTGCCTCCTCTTCTCTTTACTGCCCTCCTCTGTCTCTCCCTCTCAGCAGATGGTGTGATGGCAGTGCTGCCAGGATGGACAATGGCACTCCTTCATTGTGCTCCTCTTCTACCCTCTCGTCTGTCTCTCATTCCCACTTTCCTTTCACCTCTGTCTGTTGGAGGGACGCGCACGCTGTCTGTCCTCCCCTCCCCTCCCCTCCCCTCCTCCCAGTCTGGGTGGGTGAAGCTGCCTCCCATTTTCTCTTTGACTTTCTCTCTCTCTCTCTCTCACACACACACACACACACACACACACTCGTGGCTGCTGCCTCTGCCTCCCTTTCTCGCATCCTTCCTGTTTCCTCCCCCTTCCCCCCACCTCTATGCAGCCTCACTCATTTAACAGGGTACATGTGTATGCACAGTAAGATGCTGCGCTCCTGCACATTAACGCACACAATCCAAGGGGGAGATGGAGATGTGGCTGAAGGGAGGAAGGGGTGAGGGGTGAGGGGAGAGGGGGAGGAGAAGTGTGTGTGTGTGTGTGTGTGTGTGTGTTCATGTTGGCTGGTCAAGTCTCCTCCCTTATTCATGTTTGGTAACCTGAGAAACAGAATAAAAGAGGAAGGGAAAGAGAGAGAGAGAGAGGGAGGGATGATGGAGACAGGCAGGGGGAGAGAGTTCATCCTCCCTCTATGGGCTGAGAGTGTAACATGAGGTCACTATTTAACCTTGATGAAAGTGGACAAAACAAAAAAAAAGGACAAATATGTTCATTCACATAATAAACAGTCTATGTTATTACTATAACTACAGCGCTCTAGGGGGAAGAGGACAGGCAATTAGCAGGCGAGCTCAATAACAAGCGAGTGATTCTGTAGAGGCAAACAGAAGCAGAGGGCCCCACAGATCAGTTTCTGATAAGATGGCAGTGTAGTGGAAAGCAGAAGAAAGCACACATAGGGTGACGCGGGGACACAGCAGAGTGGATAGCAAGGAGTCCTCAAATGACACCCCAATGTTCAGTCCCTGCAGTACTACGTCTGGCCACTACACCATCTTGTAGTGGAGTGGTGCATTCAGGTTAGTGTGAAGGATGAAAAACAGAGAACTGCAGAGGGTGTCATTTAAGGTAACATCCATCCCCATGCAACACACAGTGAGCAGCAGGAGCCTCCACCCTAACCTGCACCATGCCTGTAACCAGTGAACACATGACACACTGTGGCTTAGGGTTGATAAGAAGATAATACTGATTTATTAAGTGCATCTTGATTTGCTCTATTACATTACTCAGTTGGCAGTTTATGAGTTACATCCAACTAAAAATAATGCAGTCTAGAGCAATAATCCCACAAACGTAAGCCTCCATGATCATAAAGTTGGATCAACACCTTTTTAAAAAAAATGTTCTGGACATTAAAATCTTAATAAATGTAGGATTTATTTGAGGACTCTAGTATTAGACTGCATTTTTTAAACTAGATGTAACTGGCAACCTAGTCTAGTTAATGATAACTCACTTAAACCGCAATAGATTGACATACACAGGGCTGCACAATTACTCATGATTATACACTGTGACTTAAGTTTCCAGTAGGGCTGAACGATTAATCGATTTTAAATCGAAATCGGGATTTGAAATGATGTGATTATCAAATCGCAAAGCCTGCTATTTTTTTTAACTTTCTTCTTTTTTACTTTTTTTTTAACCAATCAGAAGTGGCCCATGATAGAAGGTGATAGACAGATTGATCCAATCACCTGCCAAGTATTTTTGAAAGTGCCTGCCCTTTCCAAATGGCTTCCAATGGAGCTTTCCTAGATGGTTTGGTGAAACAAACCATCTGAGTCAGGTTAGTAATGCTCCGTCACATGTTCTACATCTATTACAGGGTGAATCTGAAGCTTGACTTTAAAGCAACCCAACG